TTGAACTTATGAATCGAACCCCAAGTTTTGATTCTGCTCTATGATCATGCTCCTGGGGTGGTGGAACGAATCTAACTGGCCCAAGGAAATAATGTAGTATTCTGCACTCCTTGGCCTTTGTATGAGGTATGTAATCCTGACTTTCTGGCAAGAAGAATTCCACATGATATGCACCTTGTTCCTCATTCCTTGACTCTTCGATTGTTCAGATGACTCTATTTCCATATCATCATCCAAACATAATGTGGAAAAATGCTTGGAATGTGGACCAATGCGCTCAAACACATGAACTTCAGGACTCTCAACATCCTCAACATCAGTGATACTAGAGTCAACAAAATTTATATCATCAAAGTCCTTGGCTGGCTCTAGTCTCACTTCTTCAACATAGACATCCTTAAATTGTGGTTGGCTAGGTTGTTGATGTTCTACTCTGACCTCCCCAATTAACACCTCAAATTCATGCTCTTCTTGGCTACTATCCTCAATATTGGCTTGTTGAGCATTAAAAGCTCCAACCACTTGACTCAATTGAGCCTCCAACTTGCGAATAGTTGCCTCTTGCCTTTCTATGTGCAATTGTTTCTCATTGTTTTGTTCCAGAAGGCACTTTAGCATATCCTTGATCTCCTTCAGGTCCGCATTCCCAGGTTCTTTGTTCCTATTAACTTCACAAGAAAAGGTGGAACCATCGTAGTAAGGGGTGGGGGAAAATAAGAAATATAAGCACAACCATGAAGGTGACCATTTTTACCACCACACACATCACACACATTCCACAAATAAGATTGAGTTGGTGCACATAACTCGCTCTCAGGAACATTTTGAAAATTTTGCCACGGGTGATTTCCTTTACAATATGTATGGAGATCAATAGTAGAATTATCTATACCTAAATTCCCATAATTCCAAGATGTCATGTTTCTCAAATCAACAGTTATAAAAAAAATACCAAGAAAAAACAAAACAAAATAAAAGTTCAAACTTGAACCCTAGCAATATATACAGCTACAACTACACAATTAGTTCCCCGGCAACAACGCCAAAATTTGATAAACTTTAATGTATACCAGGATCTTTAGGGCTACACGTGTTCGTAAAGATAAACTTTAACGTATACCAGGATCTTAAATATGATAATATTACAAATAGTCGTTACAAAAAATATATCTGAAGCGGAAGCCATTATAGGAAAGCGGAAGCGTTTATTGAAATTGATTTCTACCTCCTAGCCCTAGCCTTACGCTACCACAGGCGTCAATGATGAAATTGTATGTAGGAAAAATGGTAACCCTAATTGGTGGAGGGAGGAGCAATCAGTGGCGGATCCAAGATTTTAAAGTCGTGGGTGTTGGAGGATAAAATTCTAAAAAAAGAGGGAAAATAAATTTAATTATGGGTGCTCTCTCAATACTTATCCAAATTTTTTATTGATTGCATATGTAAATCTACTAGATCTAGTCAAAGACAATGGGTGCTTGAGCACCCATAATGATCTATGTAGATCCGCCACTGGGAGCAATTTATAGAGATTTATATATAATCTTGTACGTCCATCAAGTAATCAATCGGACGGATGAGATTTGCTCATTAATTAAGGGCTTTAAACCTATTGGGCCACCTATACATAGAAAAATCCTACATTTTTCCACTTGGCCTAATAATCACATAATATTTATATTTAGTATTATAAACATTAGTTAATATGACCATCATACATACCATAATACGACAAACTGCTAAATGTGAGTTATGGCGGTTATACATATAATTTTGTCTACATACTCCCTTCCATATACTACAACATTAGCAATTAATCGTACTAGGTCCTTAAGCTATAAAATATTATGGTCCACAATAACGTCTCATTGAGACTTATCTGTAATATCTCAAAACAATAATGTGCACCATTATGAGAAACAAAAAATCATTAATGTATATCAAAAACACATAAATGAGCTCAGAGTGTCGAAACATCATAAATACAGCCAAGACCCATTCTATGTATATGTTCTTTAAATATCTGTCACGCCCCGAACTTGGGGGGCGAGACCGGCAGCCGATACCTTACTCAACCGAGTACCAACATAACATATCTTTTCGTATCATACTATCATAGATAACTGAGCCGGAGAGGCTGCTGTAAAATAGGTAGAATACAACATGTAATACCAACTTATACATAAGACATATGGGCCTCTAAGACCAAAATAATCACTCGTATACTGAACATAAGCCGACAAGGCCATTCAATCTTTTACGTACACGACATCTGTCTACAAGCCTCTAAGGATACATAATTGTCATAAAGGTCGAGACAGAGCCCCGCCATACCAAACAATACACATCTAAATCATACTGACCAAACAAGCAACTCCAGAACAAATGGAGTGCACCAACATCTTCCGCTGAGCTGATCGCCTACTTGGAGGACTTTCGACCTGTCTATCGAGACCTGCGGTCATGAACGCAGCGTCCCCGGGAAAAAGGGACATCAGTACGAATAATGTACCGAGTATGTAAGGCACATAAATAAGTACGTAAAAGACATGGAAGAAATATAGAGTAAATGACTCAACCTGTAAGTATGGATAACTCTGTAAATCATGAAATACTTTTAGTGTCATGCATATACGTATGAATGTCATGTCGTACATAGGTACATGTGTTCACAACATCAAGCCTCTGAGGGCATCCCATCATATCATCTCGGCCACTGTGGGCAAAATCATCAACGTATACCAGCTGATCAGGTGGTGGTGCGTATATAACACCATAACCTTTCCCATATCCCATATACATATATATACATATATAAATATATATATATATATATTTATATATATATATATATATATATATATATATATATATATATACGCGTATATAACGCCATCTGGTCATGGATCTATTTACGTGTATAAATGCATGAAATGCACAAGAAATACGTGAATAAGATTTTCTCGGAATGCCATAAAAATCAATATGCCTTTCGGATAAACTTTATCAAATACGTATTTTTTTGAGACCCATGAACAGAAGATATAATAATAATTCACATGGGGAATCAAGAATATAGGCACCCCTAGTATTTCTATGAATAGAGTCATTTATGCAAATTGTGCATTTGCTCGTTTCGTTTGTTAGATCATGCCAAAAGAAATAAGGAATAGCCTTAACATACCTGGAGTAGGGAAAAATCCGTATGATGTTCTTGGAAAAGATTGTACCGTACTCATTTAAAACCGCAAAATTTTATGTTGCTAAGTATTAAGGAGTCTTGTATGAGATTTGATTGTAGCAATCACGGATATAATTTCATGACAATATACCGGCTCCGACCATTGTCAAGTCCGGCTTAATTGCGCGGAAACGTGATGTAGGAACGTAGTTCGACAAATTCCAAGAACTTTACTCCCGTGACCCCAAGACCTTAATCCTGTATCTGGACCATGTTTTTCGGCAAGAAATACCATGAACTTGGTAAGGATCTCCAAGGAGAAACTTTATCACTCTCAGCAATCCTTTCCAATATAGAGAAGTAAGATACCAATTTGTAATCTATCTTAGAGTTTTTGGAAGCAAGTGGTCATCAAATGTCTTAAGGTTGATATCCAGGTGCCTACTAATTGATTTGTCTAAAGGTAAGTAATAGTCTTCCTCTACTTGCCGCCATGTGGGGTGGGAAATATTTTAATCTTTATCCAACTTATTAGTTAATTAGGTAATGTCCCGTTACCCGATAATTAACCAATTATCCGCATAATTAAAAATTATCTCCACTTACTTAAAATACTATTCACTTTTAACATACCTTATACACCTTACTATCATGGTCATGTGGTACCTTGTATGACACTAGTCCATAAATATCGAGTATTTTAGCTCGGTCCGTATTTTATCCCAACATGACCAACTTGGACGAAAATTCATTTTCTTTGACTTGCTTCCCCTCTCACCTTCACGAATTTACTCATCACTTACTTGAAATAGCATAATCCTTATAATCCCCAAATAATCTTTTCCTTGGACGGATGTCAATTACCTTACGACAAATTAAACGTACAATACTACATGGTGCAACATCGTCGTAATTTGATACTGCGAAGCGTAACATCATCGTAATGCAATACTGCAGGACGTGACATTATCGTAATATCAGGACGTAACATCATCGTAATATTGCGGGGCGTAACAATATCTTTGGCTGCAAACCTTTCATTAACGGAACTGCAATCATGAGATAAATTCTAATATGCTCAAGTGACACTCTTTGTTTTTGAACTTCATCCTTGACGGTAAATCACTTTAATTCCATATGCTTGGCACCTTTGGAGTATTATCATTCTTGGAGAAGAATACCGCTGTAGAATTATCACAATAAATTTTCAGCGTCTTGATAATGGTGTTGACAACCCCAAGTCTTGAAATAAAGTTTCGCAGCCATAATGCATGAATTGTGGCTTCAAAACATGCCACAAATTCTGCTTCCATCGTGGATGTAGTAATGATAGACTATTTGGCACTCTTCCGTGATATTGCTCCTTCAACTAATTGGAACAAATAACCAAATATGAACTTTCTAGTTTTTCTTAAAAGCTTAAGACCTCTTAATTAAGTTTGACTTTAGGCCACATTTTTTCTTGAGCAGCCCCTGCCTGCCCTTTCCTTCCAATGACTAGAAGGAACGGGCAATTAATTTTAAAAATAAAGAAAATATTGTTGACGCACTATATTCGTTTCTTTTACCGGTGCTTTCATAAACTTCAATTTCAGTGTTGCTGCAGTGTAAACAACAACAACATACCAAGTGTATTCTCACATGTTGGGTTTGGAAAGGGTAATATGTATGCAAACCTTATCCCTACCTTGTGAAGGTAGAAAAGTTATTTCCAGAAGATCCTTGGCTCAAAAAGCGAAAACACAATAGTTATACTTTGCACCTATTTTTCCATATCTAAAATCCAATTACAATCGTAGATGCTGAGGCACATAACAGATTTAAAAGTTCAGTAATATCACTAACAATTCTACAAACTCAAAGTATGATTGTATAAAACTTAGACCCAGAATTACAATTTAGAGAAATAACATCTCCTTGAAAACCATATAGTATTGCTAAACCTGGTAACGTAATGGTAAATTGGAACAATGGACTTCAATCCTTCTGCTCTTAAACACCTTAGCTAATGTCACTCTGAATCAACATACATCTGGATCATAATCTGTAGGAAAGAAACATAAAAGGGTCAGTACTAGTTTGACAAGGCACAAGCATCCAAAGGCAGATTTAGAGCTTGCTCAAACAAATTCACTTTTACTTGTCATATTTCGCTTTTCGAGAGTCAATTTGACTAATTTTTGAAGCTAAATTACGCTAGATTTTCTTAATATTTTAAAATTAAAAATTTGATATTCGGAAACTATACAAAAAATACTATAATTAGTAATTTTTCTCATATCAATCACCACCAAATCACCACATGAGGTGAAAGCTTGCGTGAGTGTAATATAATGTTCATAAGCAATTATGGAACATTAACCTTAATAAATAAATACCTATGTGTCATAAGCAATTATGGAAAGTTCATTCTGGAATATAATGTAATACTTACATGAGATACGAACATCCACGGGTTTGATTCCAAGGTCTTCTTGTTCTTGTGGAATTCGTGCAGCAGAAGCCTCCAGTTCGGTTGTACAGTCAGTTAACTCAATGAGTTGCAGTGAGTAAATATCTGCAAACTCAATGGGTATCTCTTCCAACATATGGCAATCTCTAATCAAGAGACGCTCAAGGACGGGAAAATGGTCATCTGTGGCTTTCAAGTACTTGAGATCACAATACGCAATTAGCAAAAGCTTCAATCGAGTAAATCCTCCTTCAATTGGATACCATTCTTCGCCTACACAAGCGTTCCACATCAGCTTCAGCACCTCAAGGTTAGGTAACTCACACATGATGTTCAAGTCCTCCCACCTTACAAAAGTTGAATCCAGCTTTAACTTCCTGAGTGTTACAGGAAAAGCTTTTGCACTTGGGATGGTCACTGGTGAAATTTCGTCCACTAACAAACACGTACACTCAAGTTGAAACTTCAATGTTTCAAGTTGATGTAGATGGACAAATTGTTCATTCTGGAAAGTTCAATGTTTCAAAGTTTCATACACTCAAGTTGAAACTTCAATGTTTCAATAAATAAATAACTGTGTGTCATAAGCAATTATGGAAAGTTCATTCTGGAATATAATGTTATACTTACATGAGATACGAACATCCACGGGTTTGATTCCAAGTTCTTCTTGAATTCGTACAGCAGAAGCCTCGAGTTTGGTTGTACAGTCGGTTAACTCAATTAGTTGTAGTGAGTCAATATATGCAAAGACAATGGGTATCTCTACCAAGGACCTGCAACGTCTAAACAAGAGGCGCTCAATGACAGGAAAATTGTCATCTGTGGCTTTACAGTACTCGAGATCACAATGCGTAATTAGCAAAAGCTTCAATCGAGTAAATCCTCCTTCAATTGGATACCATTCTTCGCCAATACAAGCGTTCCACATCAACTTCAGCACCTCAAGGTTAGGCAACTTACCTACGATGTTCAAGTCCTCCTACCTTACAAAAGTTGCCTGCAGCTTTAACTTCCTGAGTGTTACTGGAAAAGCTGCTATACTTGGAATAGTCGCTGGTGAAATCCGCCAGTTTTCTGATGAGTCCCACTTACGAACAAGTACAAAACTCAATGTTTCAAGTTGATGCAGATGGACAAGATTGTTGAAAAGTCTAGATTCTTGAAAGATTTTATAAGCATTGGTGGCATATCCATGGATTACTAACTTCTTAACATTCCGAATCCCTGAAATAACCTCCTTTGTGCAATTACTTGGAGACAAGCCAGAAATAGTATGTATGTTTGAAAAAGCCAAGTAGCTCTCCTCATCATCAGATTCCCTTGGAGGATTTGACAAATAAAATTTACGTAGTCTGAGCTGCCTTTTTTTTTTTTTTTTTTTGATTTGCACCGGGTGTCCGAGTCTCTAAGAGCCCCGACTAATCCCGGGGGTGCACAGGCCCTCGGCAAAGAGTTTCCCGCAAGTGCACCACGGTTAATTCAGGTTTTACCCAGTCCGATGGCCCTCAGAAATTGTTTGCACCCAGTGGGTTTCGAACTTGAGACCTTGAAAGGGAGCAAACCCCAAGGCTCAAGTCTATTGCCACCAGGCCAACCCCCGAGGGTTGTAGTCTGAGCTGCCTTAATTGCATTAGTTCCCAAATTTTCTCCTTAAAAGTCACATATCTAGGACTATCCAATTTAACAATGAGTGTTTGCAGATTCCATAATCTGCAAATTTCTGGAGGAACGTAAAAATCCTCGTCAATGCCGGACAACGCTAGGTACCTCAACCAAATGAGACATAGTACATGTGGAGGGAAACTTCTTAACTTTGTGGTACCCAAGTCCAAGATTCTAAGTAAACTAAAATGAATAAGCTCTGAATTTAGAGTAAAAGTTGAATTAAGACAAAAAGAGAAAATGGAACGAGTTCGTTTCAAGAGAGTGCAATCATCATCATCTATCTGCCTGCTTATCAAATGATCATGCTCGGGGGTAAGAAGGGCCAAACACATTCTATCATAGGGCTGCATTTTATGTGCACTGAGATGATGAAATTCTGGAGAAAAAGCATGGCTTTGAGCTTTTTTTGCATCTGAATCACCATCTCCACCCGAATCATCACCTTCATCCAAATCATCATCTTCATATGATTTATGAAAAACGTCGTCTTTCATGACAAAAATGTCTTGGCTTTGAGCTAATTCTCTCACGCACAGCTCATGTATTAGATCATGAACCTTACATGATCTAATTTTTGTGCCATCCAAACTTTTCTTGCAGACAAGAACGAGATGTCTGTCGATAAGATCTTGTAAGCACTTCTCAGCCTCTCTTTCCAAGTCTTTTTCTGACTTCAGGAACCCCTCAGCCATCCAGAATCTCACCAAACTCTTCACTGAAATCTCACTGGCTTCTGGAAAAATCCCAAAATACAGAAGGCATGCTTTTAGGTCACTGGTTAAGTGATTGTAACTCAACCCAAGCACATGTAGATATCGTTCGTATGGATCTTCTGTGACAAGTGACATGACATCTTCAGCAATATTTTCCCAATCATCTATTGTCCTTTTAGATCTGGAGAGAAGCGCAGAAATCACAGCAATAGCTAGTGGTAACCCTTGGCAATACTCTACAACTTGCTTCCCAATAGTCTCGAAGTCATATGGTAATGCTTCATCTGCAAACATTATACTTTTGGCAAGGTTCCAACTCTCATCTTGATCCATGCACAAAGAAAGATTCTTTCTACCAGCATAATAAGCTACTTCTTTGTTACGGGTAGTCAACAATACTCGACTCCCATTGTTGTCACTTGGAAAGCATTGTCTCACGTCATCCCATGCTTTACAGCTCCACATGTCATCCAATACAATTAAATATCTCCTACTCTTTAAACTTTTTTGCAGCATGGATGCTAGCTCTGACTCATTACCCATGTAAAATCTGTCAGGCATTGTGGAATGCAGAAGGCTTTCGAGGAGATCTTTTACATTATACTGTTGAGATACAGTAGTCCAGGCACGAACATCATAATGAGATCGGATTGATTCATAATCGTAAACTTCTTTTGCTAAAGTCGTTTTACCGATGCCCCCCATCCCGGTGATCGAGATGACTTTGGATTTACCAGAAGAGCCACCATATTGTGTCAGCTTTTCCAGCAACCATTTCCTTTGATAATGGCTCGCCGTATTATAATCTTGAATGTTTGGTGACTCATTCTGGACATGATCAATCTCCTCTGCTACTTGTTTTAGGCTATCAAAAAGCCTCTTATGTTCCTTTTCTTTCTGCATTTCATCATTTGCCATTACAGCTTCTGTTAGTCTCAGTTGAATTGTGTGTTCCACAGCATTTGTGACGTCTTTTATCTGCGATTCCAAATATGCCATTTCCTCAGTATCATTGCTTTTCTCAAAATTCTTGAGAAATACTTCCAGGGAACTAACTTTTCCCTGAAGAGCGAGAAATTCTTCTTTGTGGTCACAAATTAGAGATTGCATTGGCGAATTGGATGTCAAGAGTAGTTCTATCGTTCTCATAAGAGAAGCAATACTAGCATAAGCCATATCTATTATATTCCAATTATGACCTGAAAGCTGCAAGTTGCAAGACGTCAATGGTATATATAACATGATCAACAAAGTTGCAAAAAGGAAGGCAAAAACAGAGAGAACATCAGGTAGATTTTCAGCCATCACTGTCTCAAATCTCAATCGATTCTACGACTTGATCATATAAAAAGAAATCGAGAGTTTTTTGTATATTCAAAAAACATTGCGTCTATTTCATGTTCATGTCATCAATGTTACTAGACATGGTTTTTCACTACTTATAATCTTTGATCTCTAATCCTCAGAATTTGGTTAAAGATAAGTGAAACAATAGTCTTTACTAGATCTGGTACCCATATTTCCAGGTTATTAATCTCTTAAAACTATCTATCCTTCACCCTCAATGCACAAAAAACTATGGTTCTGCGCGAACGATGTTTTATAACTACAGGAATCACGTGGGTGCACCAAAAGGAAATGAGGGATAAAGGCTACTCCTCAAGTGTACAAAATCCTTCTCAATTCTATAAAATGTTTTCCTATTACTCTCTCTCCATACGGTCCACATCAGTGCTCGTGAAGCAACTAAGGTCCAGCCAAACGCAACTTTTTTGACCATGCCTGGCATTACCCATTGAAGACCAAACCAACACAGTATTTTCCACAACAAACGAGATGCTATGAGATGAAAGCTACTTTCTAAAGTAAATCGATAGCAACTACCCCCTCCGTTTCAATGTATGCGACATAGTTTGACTTGATACGGAATTTAAGGGAAAAAAAAGAATTTTAAAACTTGTAATCTTAAACATGTCATAACATTTATGTGGATATAAGAATTTTGAAACTTGTGGTCATAAACATGTTAACATTTGTGTGGCTAAATATAAAATGTGTCATTCTTTTTTGAGCGGACTTATAAGGAAAGTGTGTCACATAGATTGAAACGGATTGAATCTATGTGTATGTATTTGTAATATAAAGTGTGTCACATAGATTGAAATAGTATGTATTTGTAATGAAAGAAATACTAAGGAAAACTTGCCACATACTTTTTTTTTTGTTTTATTAAAAGGCAGTATGAAGAAAATACTGCAGCAAGTCAAAAGAGCTAATCTTGGAACATCAGATCTCTATAAAATCCAACATATTGCACAAAACATCAAAATCTGGAAAGGGAACTTTACTCGAAAATTCTGGTCAAATTATATCTCTAAATAGAATTAGAAAGCATTAAAGTTCCACAAATGAACTCTTTATATCAGGTAGGCAAAGTTGAAACTGTTATTCAAGAGGTGAACTGCAAACTTTGATGTATACTTTTTCCTAGTACTATTTTAAAAAGAAGGAAGAAAATTAAATCTATCCTAAAATTAGATTTGTAGTAGCGCAAAAAGCTAAAACTTAATATAAGAAATACTAGGAGAAAAATATATAAGAAACTTAATATGAATAACAATCAACAAATGGATAAAGCACAAAACATACAGTACAGTAACCAAGAAAAAGATCTCAGAAGACATAAAAAGGCATACCTCAAATGGTATGTGCAAACAAATTACCAAGCAAATTGTAAATAAGAACTAAATATTTGACTTATTTGGATGAGATGACAACTTCAATTAGGGAAATACAATATTATACCACATGGGTGTTAGTATATTACAAATCAAGTTGGTTATATATAGTACTTTCACTTAGCTGGTTTTAAATGAAGATTTAGAGATTAAATAAGTTCAAAGAAAGAAGTGAAAGACAAAAGAAAGATGGCATACCTTGGATGATTGAAAATGGTGTCTGCAATCATATTACCACCAAGTTATTTTATATTAAACAAGAAAGACTTGACTTTATTGACAAACCACTGGCTTAATCAATAATTACCGTTCTCTTTTCAATTGAGACGAACCACTTTGGTTGTTAAATTTGTTCTAAAAAGAAGATACATTTCTATATTTAGAAATAAATTTAAACTTTAAACCGGTCAATTCTATCCACGTTTTTATAGCTACACCAAATATCAATGACAATTAAATTTTTGCCCCCTTAAGCTTTTAGCACCACATATTTTACAAAAGTTATACTTTTTTGTTCCTTAAACTTTGTGTCAAGTCAAACTACAACAACAACCCAGTGGAATCCTACTAGTAGGGTCCGGAGAGGGTAGAGTGTACGCACACCTTACATCTACCCGGAGGGGTAGAGACGCTATTTTCTGGAAGATCTCGTCTCAACAGACGAGACCATAATATCATAAAAGAACATGTCAAGTCAGACTATATCATCTAAATTGAAAGGGAGGGAATAGCTGGTTAACCAGAAACTCTGAATTCATATTATGCTTGCTTGGTTACCTGCCACTAAATTGGATGGCCAAACCCCCCCCCCCCCCCAACCACCACCACCACCATAGGGCACATAAACCCTGGGTTTATGGCTTGAATAAATAAATAAAATAAAATAAAAAAAGATTATGTAAGCAAATATGGTGGCCTATTGCTAAAGGGGCGGGTCCATTAACCCGAGTTTGGAATCATGTGCCACTAGCCTCGAAATTTCTGGGTGATTAAAAAAAATTCCAGAATACACTTTTTATTTTTCAAAAGTTCTTAACTATAGCCCCTGTAGCAGACCAGCAATCCTCTCCCCAGTCAAGGATAGCAATTGACAATATTTGGTAGAACAAATAAGTGTAATATTGAGACAGAATTGAGTAGTAACGGAAAAATTAAAAAAAATGGAAAAGGTTCAAATTTTCCACTTTCCTTAATAATGCTCTTCGCTTGAATCAATAGCTTGTTTTTGTGTAACAATCAAAACATTTACCGTCGAAAGCTGAGGGAATTGGTTGCCGGTGGTGGAGAACCATCGACGGAGCGAGAGACATTGCCAGAGGCGGCAGTGGAGGGGCGAGTTGTTCGCCGGCGGGACCTCCGTCCACGTCAGCAGATGGGCGGTGGAGGTGTGGTGGCTTTCGTACAGGTGTTGCTCTTTCCATTGTTGAGTTTTGTCCGGCAGCTGAAGAGTGTGATTTTTTGTATCTTCTTTTTATTTTTTTCTTTGTTTGTTATTTTCCACGTGTCGGCTTAGAAATTTTATGGATAATCACCCAATTCTTACTTTATTACAACCTAAAGTTACAAATTATATTTTTCCCCTTACATGTTCAATGAAAACAAATGAAAATGAAGATACAATGTGAAAGCTAATGAGAATATTGTCCTTAATTGAAAGTATATGTGAAAAGATAACCATTCTTTTTACATATTGAATTATGAACAAAACTAAAATTGGAAATATCCATGATAAATTTCAACAATTCTATCAGTCCACACTGATCAGTGTAGGATTGTGTGGGCTTCTTTTTTTCCTTCCTTTTGACACTGGAGGTGAGAAAACTTCTTCCTTGTAAAATTTATCTTGAATCCTTGGGGAGCTCTCATTGAATCTAGGATTTTTAGAACATAAGTGTACCTCTAAAAAAGTGGAAAAAAGAAGAAGTACTAAGTGGGAACCAATTCATATTCTTTTGGATAAATAACTCAGCATTCAGCCATGTGCATCATTCAACCTTTTTGGAGTGTGAGGGTTAATCTATAATAGTACATCAATTTTACGAAATATATATATATATATATATATATATATATATATATATATATATATCTAGTTTAACAGAAAGACCATGGGTTCACGTGCACCGTAAACAGTGGCAAAACCACATGATCATAAGGGTGGTCAAAATATTATGTTTTAGAGGTATATAACACCTATTGAACACCCTTTGTCGGAAATTTTTTCNTATAACACCTATTGAACACCTTTGTCGGAAATTTTTTCCACTTCTTTTAAATTTGAACACCCTTTGAGAATTCCTAGCTTGGGAATTGCGAAAAATGTTTGGAAAATGCGAACCTGGGAATTGCGAAGAATGTTTGGTTATAGCTCGATCTCCCTTGCCGGGATAGTTTATTATATTATCTTGTTCCCTTGCCAGGATTATTTTGTGTATTGTGTTGAAAGAAATGGGATCGTGTGGCACGCCGACCACGAGATATTATGAAATGGGAGCGAGTGGTACGCCTACCACGTGATGTTATGAAATGGGATCGAGTGGTACGCCTACCACGTGATGTTATGTAATGGGATCGAGTGATACGCCTACCACGTGATGTTGTGAAATGGGATCGAGTGGTACGCCTACCACGTGATGTTGTGAAATGGCATCGAGTGGTACGCCTACCACGTGATGTTATGAAATGGGATCGAGTGGTACGCCTACCACGTGATGTTGTGAAATGGGATCGAGTGGTACGCCTACCACGTGATGATATGAAATGGGAGCGAGTGGTACGCCTACCACGTGATATTATGAAATGGGATCGAGTGGTACGCCTACCACGTGACATGAGGAAATGGGATCGTGTTGCCGCCTGCAACGAGAGAACATTGAACAAGTGAAAGTGGTTTGTTTTCCCTTATTCTGTGTTAGAAGAAATCAGATGTAGTTTCTTCTATTATTCCTGATAATCTGTTTTATATGCTACCCCATAAGCATGTTCCCCTCCCAGTTTTAATTGTTTACTTTTCGCTATTATGTTGTTGTACTTGTATATATATCTGCACAGGTTTATCTGGTAGTCTGGTCTAGCCTCGTCACTACTTCGTCGAGGTTAGGCTAGGCACTTACCAGCACATGGGGTCGGTTGTGTTGATGCTACACTCTGTGCATCTTTTTGCATAGATCACGGAGCCGGAGCAGCTTTTGGACAGCAGTAGTTGATTGGGAGCTGAATTCAGTCCAGAGATTTCGAGGTAGCCTTGCTGACGTCCGCATGACCCGGAGTCTCTTCTATCTTTGTCATTCGTTTGTTATCCTTGTACCGGAACAAACAGTATTGTGTTTTATTCGGACCTTGTGTTTAGCATTCTATAGATGTTCGTGAGTTAGTGACTCCAGTCTTGGGTAGAGGTTGTAATTGAATTTCCGCACTTGTTTTCAGTTTATTTATATTTAAAACTTCGGCTTTTATATTAAATGTCTCATTGCCTTAATATTGTCGATGTTTGCCTAAAAGGTTAATAATTAATTGGCTTGCCTAGCTCCTAATAGTAGGCGCCATCACGACTCCCGAAGGTGGAAAATCCGGGTCGTGACATATATATATATATATATATATATATATATATATATATATATATATATATATATGTATGTATGTATGTATGTATGTATGTATGTATGTATGTATAATATCTAGTTTAACAGAAAGACCATGGGTTCACGTGCACCGTAAACAGTGGCAAAACCACATGATCATAAGGGTGATCAAAATATTACGTTTTAGAGGTATATAACACCTATTGAACACCCTTTGTCGGAAATTTTTTCCACTTCTTTTAAATTTGAACACCCTTTGAGAATTCCTAGCTTCGCCACTGACCGTAAAAATAGCCTAAATCCACCTCTGATCCTCCATTATCATTATAGTCGTCGTCATCGTCATCATCTCCACAATGGATAAAATATCTTGGGATCTTTTCTTAATATCCAATCATCCAAATGTTATGTGTATTAATCAAGAATATGAATTTTTTTGAAGAAAATCTAGCAAAATAACTACAATTGAACGACTATTACTGTATAATCTGGTGGTACTGAGAAACGAGTCATGTAACTTCTATAAAAGTATGCTTAAGTGTCATAAGGTGCCACCTAAACGGTAGGTAGGCGGCGGATGTGTGACGTTTGGCGCTGTTGTTGCGCCTGTCCCCAATGGAAGAATGAGTCATCTGTTCCCCTGCGGATCATGGCCTTACCACTCGGTCCCCGATGGCCAGTGGGGGATTCGGTATAGCAGCTCAGGTTCGTTTGGGCTACTGCGCGTTCCCGCTGGACTGAACACATGTTAGTTGTAGGAAGTATGGTTCAGAAAGTGACTTCGGTTCGCTAGTTCAGGCTCAACTCCTCGCTTTACGTTAGTAGACCTACATGTCGGGCCGGGGCTCTACGCTCTTTCTTTCTGTGTGGGACGATACTGGGGAGAGAAGGGAATGCGTCGAGGCGGCGAACAAGACAACTACATTTTGGCTTTTCCCTCCATGAGACGAGCCCAGTGCATTGGACCGATGGATAAGAGCACTGAGCTGGCCTAAAAAGCACTTGGGCGCTCTACGTACGATGTAGACTCCATCAGATACATATCGATTTCTTTCTGATGGATCAAGTATAGGAAGTTTTCCCCCCGGATATGAGAAATTCATATTGGAATATAATGTTATGCTTACATGGAACCAATGTATCTGAGATACGAACATCCACGGGTTTGTTTCCGAGGTCTTCTTGTTCTTGTTGAATTTGTGTGGTAGAAGCCTCGAGCCCGAGCCTACATCTTTCTAATTTATAGCCTGTTGGCTGTTTGGCCAAGCTTTTCCAATCTTAGAAATATATTTTTTTCCAAAAAATGTATTTTTTTCCCCAAAGTTAAAGTGTTTGACCAATTTGGAAGAAAAAGAAGTGCTTTTGAGGAGAAGCAGAAGCAGTTTTGGAGAAGCAGAAAAAAGTAGCTTATCTCCTAAAGCACTTTTGAAAAAAATACACTTAAAAGCAGTTTTTAAAAGTTTGGTCAAACATTAATTGCTGGTCAGAAGTGCCTTTCAAGTTAATTAGCCAAACATAAATTGCTTCTGACCAGAAGTACTTTT